AAAAAAAAAAAAAAAAAAAAAAAGGACCTTTTTTGAGTTGGGTGTGGTGGCACACGCCTGTAATCACAGCACTCTGGAGGCTGAGATAGAAGGATCACTGAGAGAGACCAGCCTGGACTATATAGTGAGTTCCAGATCAGTCTCAACTAAGATCCTGTCTCAAAAAAACCACAAAAAAAACAAAAACCTATTTTCTTTTTGCAAAAATTGACATTGGCTCGCTACACTGCCATTGCTATTGGTTTGCAAATTATTTTCCTCAGACTGCAAGAAAGTTTAATCTGAATCTAAAAAACAGATATGAACATTATAGTTAAAGGTTAGGAAACAATCTAAAATGCTACTTTGAGATAAAGGTTTAAGCAAAATATATACAGAACACAATCTTTTATGTAACACAGTACCTGGAAGAATAAAAACATGTTCTCATATGGATTAATTATTTCTTCTAAAGAAACAGAATATCATTAAAGCAAAAAGCACCTTGTTATAATATATACTGTGTATGTATATGTACACACGTATACTGTATATATACAAACAACCCAGCAGTTTAATAAAGATTAATCATGCAAAGCCATGTGAAAATGCATTTACCAACAAGAGTAACAGCTGACACACTTCTCTCAACCTCTCTTCAAAAGAACTGTATAAAATGTATTGCAAAATAAAGACTATATTTCCATCGTATCATTTTAGTAATTTACTTAGAATCAGTATAAAAAACTCTAAAATACCCAAGCAGAGATAGTTACTGGTTCAAAATTAATGTGATATAAAACTAGGAGTATAGAGAAATGAATCATTGGATTTATCTAATTAGGAAAAGAGACTGAGAGACTTAGTGCTAGCTTTCAATCTTGCCACATGCAATCTGATGCCAAGTAATATGGCCATGACACCATAAAAGCCACCATGCAAGAGAACCTACTAGTATTTTATATGCTAACAAATGTCTCAGTGTAAGAGAACACTGACTACACTTTCATCACAGGCACTGTCTCCACTTTAGTGATGGGTGATGGGGCTCTAATATTTTCCCTTCAACTTCAACATATAATAAACAACTTAGATTGGAAAACTTACAAACTGTCCTAGCTCTAGCATATTACAAAATAAGCAAGGTTTGTTTGTTTATTTAAGACAGGGTCTTGCTAAATAGTCCAAGCTGGTCTTATCTTTATTTTTGTGGTACCAGGGATTAAACTTGGGATCTTACTTTTGCGAGACAGGCAGTGGCACCACTGAGCTAAATCCCCAGCCCATCCAAGCTGGTCTTGAACACTATGTAGCCCAGGCTAGCCTCCAACTCTTGGTGTTCCTTCTGCCTCCACCTCCCAAGTGCTGGGATTATAGGCATGTACTACCACAACCGGCCCAAGGCTTAAACGATCTCTTTCCCTCTATTTCAAAAAACCTCAAGGAATAAAATAGGCAACTGTATCTCAAAACATTTGTCCTCTTTAATTTTGTCCCTCTGTAACAACACCATTCACAATCCAAAGGAAGAACTGAAGTAATTTTTCCTATTCATTTAGCATCTATGAAGAGAGATTTAAAACTACAATCTAAATTAAAGGTCATATAAGTTTTTAGAAATTTCAAACATCCTCAAGAAACTTAACTGTCTGTGCTGTGGCTATACACTCCCGTTCCCTCCCCTAAATTGAAATTTTACAGCAATAGGAGATACTAAAATAGGATATTTTAATGTTTAATAGGATACCAAAGAGAAATTACTATTTTGATTCCTTTTTCAAAGTATATGGCTTCTGCCGGGGCATGATGGTGCAGGCCTGTAATCCCAGCACTCAGGAGGCTGAGGCAGAAGGATCACGAAGAATTCAAGGCTAGCCTGGGCCATACAGTTGGTTCAAGGCCAGCCTGGACTACACAGTGAGACCCTATCTCAAAAACAAAAAAATAAACAACAATCAGGGCCAGGGATTTAGCATAGTGGCACTGTGCCTGCCTTACAAGCACAAGGTCCTGAGTTTGATCCCTGGTGCCCCGCCCAAAATTTGAGAACAACCCCCCAAAGAAACCCAAAAAGAAAGTGTGTGACTTCTGGTTGACTGGAAGCAATGCTTTAGACTAATCTGATACTTTCTAGAATTTCAAAAACTGTTAAAAATTAACATACTATTTTTAGCACAAATATTTCCAACATCCTAATAATGGTAGTACTATATGCACATCAAGTGACTCATTTAATCACAAGAATATTGAAAAATGGGCTGATGCTCTATTTAGGTCAACTCCAGGTTCCACATCTATTCATATCCTCATTTTTATGCATTTATATAAGATACAATTGACTGCTAGGGACAACATAAAGAGATACAAAAAACAAAAGCAGGAAGGCTGCATCTTTCACAGCCATATACACTTGATGTTAGCCAAAAGGCCGAGCGATCCACAGCCATATAAAGAAGGATCTCTAAAACACTGTCAACTTTCTGGGTCCCTAGGTCATGCGCATGCAACACTGTTCAATGAAGTAAGGTCAATCTGGGCAAATAGGCCAGGAGACAGAGAGCAGACTTAGATTCTTACTGAGCATGCTCAAATCTCTAACTCACCAAAAAGCAAGACTACCTCCAGGTGGAAGTTTACTGCTTTATGGGTGTTTGGTCTTTATAATAAGTAAAAATATGTAACCTCTTTTACAACTGCTTAGCTTATTTTACAAACTGTGTAAAGGCTCCATAGTGGCAATATTTTAAATAATCAAAAACTGTCCAGCTACAAGTTTTTATTCCACAAAGCTAACTTATGCAGCATTACATGCAAAACAGCAAGTAACTCTTCCTGACAGAAGCAATCTTTCAGATAGTGATGGGGAGGTGGGTATCAAAAAATTATTTTGAACTCTCAAAAATATACTCAATTCCATTAGGAAGCTATATGAACAAGCATTTCATTAAGTTTAACATGCAGTACGCACCAGGGTAGCACATTTATAGAGGAAAGACATCAGTAATTCACTAGTTACACTTAATTAACTTGATCTACAGATTCTAAAAAGCCAGTACATTCTGCCAAAGAGATAAGGGATTCTTGTTAACTGAACACCCTACAGAATTACAGATAAACTGGCTAGTTCCACTTCAATTTTCTACACTTGATATTAGCCAAAAGGCTGAGAAGAGATTTTTTTCTTTTGATATTGGGGATCAAACTCGGGACCTTGTGCTTGTGAGGCAGACAGCGGCACCACTGAGCTATATCCCCAGCCCTCCACTTCAATTTCCTAAGTAAACTAAGTTTTAAAAATCTGTTCACAAGTTTTTAAAGAATAAATTATATAAATACATCCATGTTGACTAAAAAGGCTCATGTCCATTGGGTGCATTTTGCTCCTAGAATAAACATGCTCAGTAAGGCAAAAACTCCAAGCGCTTGCAGACTGTGGGAGACAGGCCCTGCCTTGTTAGTAGCCATGCCAAGCTGCTCTTTGATTACACGGGATGCACACTCCAGGCCAGCACAAAGGGTAACTGAAGACTATCTAACCTGGTGCTAGGCATAGGGGAAGAGGGGTGCTTTGCAAGGAGGAGCTAGTACACCCTGGGATAGTAGAAACACATACTAGAATGGAAAGATGTTCTTTTGGGATAGAGAGAGCCAGCACCCTTCTCCAGCAACTGCCTCACTGACTTCTGCCTCCTCATCTCTGTCCTACCCTCTGTTGTGGCTGCTGCTGAGTTGGGCTCCGGCGAGCCGGGCTCAGGGTTCCTGCGCACCAGCACCTCCCCCTCTTGCACACGTTTGATCCCTAGGTCAGTGGAGCCGTGTTGGATCGGGGAGCCAGGAATACTTGAGTCAGCCTCGTTTGAGAAGTCAAAGCCATCTGGGATTCAACATATAAAATTTTAGTGCTTTTGTGCTGCTCTACTCTTTTCTGAGCATTTTGACCCAGGCAGATAAGAGAATGTATATATGGATGATATTAACACAAACATTAATAATATAGTTACATATGTGTGCAAGCATGCACACACATAAGGTGGCAGATGAACAATGTGAGGTTTGTAAATGAATAGGACAGAAAAATAAGGATCATTAAAATGGCAATTGCTATCTCTTCAGCAAGACAGCGTAACTATTCAAGTCCATGAAGTACTGCTGGGCTCAGCACTTATAAATAAGGAAAAGCAAAGACGAAAATCTAAAAGCAAGAATTCTTTAACGGGTTGTTTAATGGTACTATCAGTTTGTCCGGTTAGACAGTTTTCCCCCACAGTGATCATACACACACCTTTTCCCCCCAGTAAGTAAACTCTTTAAAGCAACTTTTTCCTATTATTACTTGTTCAAAAGCTATATAAAAATTAAACTCATCTTATTTTCTGTTTTAACATTCATAGAGCAGAATAACATCTTTATACATATTCATATATATTTATACTAAAACAATGTTAAACATTTAATCACATTTCTAGTGTTTTGTTTTTTTTTTGTACAGGGGATTGAACTCAGCACCTTGTGCTTGTTACGGCACCACTGAGCTAAATCCCCGGCCCTCTAGTGCTATTTTTACATCCATCTACCAATCTATCATCTATCTATCTATCTATCTATCTATCTATCTATCTATCTATCTATCTATCTTTCGGGGTACTGGAGATCAAACTCGGGGTCCTTGTGCTTGCAAGGCAGGCAGCAGAACCAGAGCTAAATCCCTAGCCCAGTGCTATTTTTAAAAACCAAAACTTTTGGAGTTCTCTATGTGCTAATATGGCCTGTACAATCCAATAAATTCATTTGATGTGGAAGAGCAGACAGGGGCTTTTTCCTTACCTTCTCTTCTCCATCTGTGACGACGGATTGAAGCTGTTGTGATTGCGGTCCGAGAAATCCTCGGCACTGTTGGGGTGACTTCCACTTTCAGGACTTTCTGGCCTTCTTGTGAGGAATCAGGAGCATCAAATGGTAGTGAGTTTTTCATGGCATTGGCAACCTAAAATGACAATATAAGTCTATACAAATTTACAATCAACATACACTTTCTGGTTATTTTATACTTCATATTTTCATAATCTTTTGCATGTCTTTAAATGTGTACTGCTGTAACCTACAAAAGTACAAATGTATCAGGTTTGTATCAATGTTCTTTCTTCTTTTCCTTCCTTCCTTTTCTTTCTGAGACTCAGTAGATAGTCCAGGCTGGCCTTGAACTCACTCTGACCTCAAACTATAGCCCCAGCCTCCTAAATATTGGGATTACAGGTACACACCACCACATTTGGGTTTTAATCTTTTAAGTAGGCTTTTAAATAAACGAGGATTTATTTTTTAAAATATGAGTCACAAATGCTGTGGATTCTGTTAAAGTTAGCTTTCAAAGAGACAAAGGATTCCAAAGAAAAAGTGTTTAATATTTGTGTCCTGTTAATAAAACAAGTTAGGATAAGTTTCTGATTGTTTGGATAATAAATAAAATTTAATTACTGATAAACATTAGACTTTTCCACTCCTGTTTCTCATGAAGAGAATTTTCCCCTTCGTACTTCTGGCCTCAGTCCCCTACTTTCTGCTGAGCTGGGTGGGAGTAATTGCCATTGGACTGTCCATGCTTTTAGCTGGTCAGCACTGGTCCAGCAAAGTCCGTGAGCCAGCACACTGCCTTCCTCCCCATCCATCTGGTGAGACTGACGGGCCCATTGGACCTCCTCCCTCCCCAGGGGCTGCTCCAAGGCCAATGGAGGGGAAGGTAAGCCTCCCGAGGTTAGCTTTTATCATTTTCTACAGACAATTCTCTTTATCATATGGCTCTCTACCTGTGAACAGGGAGAGGGGTGTTATTTATTGGGTCCCTGAGAGGCCACCCATTCCTTTACATATAGTGCCTTGGAAATGTTACTTCAGTTTAATTTATATGTTGCAAGGATACACAAGGAATTTTAAGTTTCAAATATACAAGGTATTACTTTGAAGAGGAACCTTTGAATTTTGTTATCTACTTGTTTCAATGTAACTCAGGGTAAAATTAGGAATGGTGAGCCAAACTGGTGACACACCTATCTATAGAAGCAGGCAGATTCCAAGATTGAGTCCAGCCTGGGAAATGTAGCAACTCAGACATTGTCTCAAAATAAAAAATAAGGGCTAGCTAGGGATGTAGGTTAGTGTGAAGGCTCTGGATTTCAAGTCCCATTACCTCCTTACCTCACCCCAAACTGTGTGATACACATACACACAGGCTTTTTAAAAAGAACAAGTAGAAAATGCATAAATAATACTTTTTTTTTTTTTTTTGAGACAGGGTCTCACTATGTAGTTAAGACTGACCTGGAACTCACTATGTAGCCCAGGCTGGTCTTGAACTCATAGCAATTCTCCTGCCTCAGCCTCCCGAGTGCGTGCGCCACCCCGCCCAGCTCATAAATAATACTTATACTACATAAGCTTAAAAACTAGGAAGCAGTAAAATATCTACAGTTAAATCACCTAGACAAATACTAACATTTTAAGTTTCCTGTCTTGCGTCTGTTAACATTTTTCTTTAATATAAATTTGCAAACATGTAACTTTATCAAGTAAATACATAAATTATTCTCTATTATGGAGCATTTAGACTTTTTATTCCTTTGCAATTAAAAATAACACTGTAATGTTATGGTTATTATCTTTCGGGCATTTCGTTTCCCGGGATATACTGCTATGAAAATCAGAAAACACACAGATCACCGAAGTGCTCCTGCAGAGGGGTGGTCAGAGCTGTGCCCATGCCGACTCTGAATGCCCTCTTCACTCCCCCACGGGTACTGAAGTTTGTCAGGTAATTGACCGTTTACATTCCTGACACTTTAATCTTTTCTATCAAATACCATTTTAACTGTCCTCTTGTTATGCCTACTGAGAATATCTTTGTCTGTGTACTGCACATTAATAGTGTTTACATCAATCTCTTTCTGGGGACTTGTCCTATCAATAGGCTGAGAGTACCTCCCCAACTCACGACCCTTCTGCCTCCAGCCTCCCGAGTGCTGGCACTGCAGGGCTGTAGAGGGCTAATTACTTAAAACCATTTCTTTTCTCTTAAAGGGTTTCAAGACAGTTATTTTATACAAACTTTATTTTATCTGTTTTTTTAACCCAATAGTGATTTTTAGGCATAGGCATATTTAATAAAGAACAAATAACTCACCAAGAGTGGTTGAGAAAAGAGTTCTAGTTGAGCTCTGTAAATGATATCATCAAGAACTTCCTGGCCAAGGTCCCACTGTCCATTATACCTGTGCAAAAGGAGAAATCTTACCATCTTTACCAAATATACCTAATCTGTAATACAACTGTGTGTGTGAGTGCACTAGAACTATAGGCATGTACCACCACACCCAGCCTATATCATTTCTTTCTAAACTGTTCTAGTTTGAGCTATAATAACAAAATGAAGACTTCAAATACTATGTTTAAAGTAGTTTAGAGCCAGCTGTGGTGACCCTGTCTCAAAAATCCAAAGTCAAACAAAAAAAGTAGTTTACAGATGTTTTTTCTTATAAATTGTTTTTTGTTTTGATATTCAGAGTAACCTTTTTCATACATTCATGAAAACTTGGGTTATAAACAATGCAGAGATACATACATAGTTTTCTATACAGAAAGCCTGACAACTTCTAAGAGGACTCCAATTTTAATATCTAGTTATGTTATACAATGGATATTTAAAAAGTAGTTAAAGGAAATCAAATTGGAAAAACAAGATTTTTGTTCCACTGTGCAACATATGATTCTATATTATGTCTAATAAAGGGAAATACAAAGAATATCAAAATATTAGGAAGAGTTCATGAATTTTATATTCTACCTACTTACATGGCATAATAAACCCCTGTGAGAAGCTGCACCATAAATTCAGGATCCAATACTATTCGACCACAGAGTTCTTTCCAGTGTTTTTCATGTTGCCGTGGAAACCCACTCACACAAACCCTAGGAAAATACAGTATTTACCATGAGTGATTGCCTGATTCAATCACTAAATTTTTTTGCTTTCATACTAACATTTATTTGTTTCTTTTTTTTTTTTTTTTGGTGGTACCAGGGATTGAACTCAGGACCCTGAGCTTGTAAGGCAGGCAGCAACACCACTGAGCTAAATCCCCGGCCCTTGTTCATTCTTCAAATACTTAATGATGCCTACCATATGCTGGTCATCGTTTTGGGCCCAGGATATAGTCATAAAAAGGTAAAAGATTAAAATGTGTGCCTTATAAAGCCTGCATTCTAGTGGACTTTTTATCTGTAAAGCAGTAACTTTTCTCAAGCTGACAACTTTTTTCACAAACATCCTTTTCCCCTCTTCTCACACATGTGCCTTTTATTTATCTCAAATCATATCACAGAGAATTAGTAAATGCAGAAATCTCAAAACAAGAAATGTTTCAAAATACCACTGTCTGTAAAGCCAGTTTTATTTATTTACTTGACGTTTTTATGGTTTTATTTAAGCAGAATAAAATATGCACATGAGTCATTTATTTATTTTGGCACCATGCAGCCTGGCACTGGAGCTGGCGAGGCTAATGCCAGCTTGGGCTGCTCTCTCCACAACCCGAGGAAGCACGGCGAGCAATCTCAGATGGCAAGGCTGCCGCTCAGCAGTGGCACTCAAGCTTAACCGGGCTGTGGACCAGGACTTCCAGGAGCTAGTGGACAGAATGGGCTTTGTTTCCTTGTTGCGTCCATAACCTTGAATCTCCTCTGTACCCTGTGATCAATACCTCTGGGTTTTTTCCAGTTATACATGTTCTGGCATGGCCCTGTGAGCGATGGTAGATGAATGTATGGGTCCTCTTCCTGAGGCTCTTAGGATTAAGAGTCGGAGAGCAGCCACAATGTCCACAGGAGATGCTGCCACCACGGGAGCAATGAGGAAGCAGAGAACGGGGGGGGGGTGTCTTTCTTTTTTCTTGGGTACCTGGGATCAAACTGGGGTCCTTGTGCTTCTGAGGCAGGCGGTGGCACCACTGGGCTAAATCCCCGGCCCCCAGGGGGCTATTTCTAATCAAAGAAATATGAACATTTCCTACCTTCTATCCCACTGAGATCCTTCCAAAAATATTACCCTTAATAATTATCAAAAGTTGTAGGGCAGGAGATTTAGCTCAGTGGTGCTGCTGCCTGCCTTGCAAGAGCAAGGTTCCAAGTTTCATCCCTAGTATGAAAAGACCCCCAAAACACAAAAACAAAAGTTGTAATGTGCTTATATTATTTTAATCAATTAATTTTTTAGGATAAATGCAAAGGTGAGTCCAGAAAGGATATTTTTAGTATTTAGTGCCTTATGGTCTTGATAAATTTTTTAAAATTTCACACACACACACACACACACACACACACAAATATATATATATATATAAATTAAAGTTTAAGTGACTGATAAAATATTCCAAGTTGTCAGCAGCATTATATTAAGACAGAATTGTGTGAGGAAGGTAGAGTGGAAATTCAATTTCAAGAAGAAAAAGGAATAGTGTAATGTCAGACTATTAAAGAAAAGGCCTGTTCATTTATTCTTCAATGGATGTTGGTGGGTATCAAATCTGTGTACATTTTATACATTTAAAATAAACCAGTGGGCCACCCATTATATGGGTCTCACTATGCAGTTCAGGCTGTCCTTAAACTCACTATGTAACCCAGTCTGGCCTCCAACTAATCCTCCTGCCTCAGCCTCCCTAGTGCTGGGATTACAGATGAGAACCATTACACCTAGTCAGGGTCTGAAAGTCTTGTCCTTATTGTAGATATGTAAGTTAATTAGATATCTTGTTGGCAGTTGGACAGGGCTGGTATGGATGACAATCAAGACACATTCACTGAAGGCCAGCATTGTAAAAAGAAGAGAAACTACAACACCCGGCGTGCTTCCCCTAGGGATGATAGCAGTGACTAATATTCTAAATAGGTATCGAATACCTGGGTTGGGGACCAAGATCTTAACCCACCCCCTTCCAGGAAAGATCCCTGACCCACCTTTTACTGAAAATCCTTGTTCACTCTCTATACGCTTGCTATGACTTGCTTCACCATTTGATTCCCATTTAATCAGTATTACTTAAGTGACTTTCCTCATTGTAATCTTATTGTTTGATCATAGTTTTGTCCCACCGTGTAATTTCCCACTGGATCAATATTAATCTTATTAGGGCTGGGGATGTAGCCCAGTGGCTCCACACCTGCCTGGCAAGCGTAAGGTCCTGAGTTTGATCCTTGGTACCAGGAAAAAAAAATTAATCTTACTAGTTGACTCTAGTTTTGTCGCACCTTGAACCCACTTGACTGCTACCCGTAAACTAAGTGCAACTTCACCAGGAACCTAAATGGCCAGCACTGTGACCAAGGACTTTCCAGTCTCCAGAACTGTAAGAGTAAACTGTTGTTTCAGCCCAAACATACTCAGTGGTTATTAAAAATTATCCCAATGTTTACATATTGGAAATTATATCATCTGCAGCTATTTTAGAAAGAAAAATGTTAAAGCTGAGCAAGGTGGTGGACACTTGTAATCCTAGCTACTTGGGAGGCAGAGGCAGAAGAATCTCACATTTAAGAGCACCCTATCCCACTCAGTGGGACCCTTATCTCAAAAACAAAAAAATAAAGAGGTAGGGATGTAGCTTGGTAGTAAAGGGCTTGATTAGCACATTCGAGCCTCTAGGTTCAACACCTAGCACTACCATTAAAAAAAAGATTGAGAAACTTAAAAAGTCTGCTTAAAAGTGTAAAAGGATATTAAATTTTTAAAAATTTTTCAAAATTCTTTAGGGATATGTAAACAAGTGTTAGAGGATGACTAGCCTCTACCATAGCTTTTGTTTCTAAAAAAACCCTATTAAAGATGATAATAATGCTGTCAATGAGGAGCCTGGCCTATTTCTTTTGATGAACCCAAAGCAGCAATAAGTTGTAGGATTTTTGTTTGGTTTTTTGTTTTGTTTTGTTGAGACAAGGTCTCACTATGTAGTTGAGACTGACCTGGAACTCACTATGTAGTCTAGGCTGGTCTCGAACTCACAGCGATCCTCCTGCCTCAGCCTCCCGACTGCTGGGATTACAGGCGTGAGCCACCACTCCTGGCAGCCACTTAATAAATTGATCTGTAGATTGGAGGTAAGATCTTAAAGAATGTATTCTCTAGAAAATAGAATCTGGGTTAATGACAAGAACTGTGTTAACCATTAATATTATTAGAGGCTTATTAAAGAAATATTGCATGCAATAATATACTTATTTTAGAGAATCTGTAAAATCATTGATATAGTATTTAGACTGGCTTTCTCCAAACTAACAAGATTAATGTGATTTGTTATAAAAAGGACTGTAGCAGACATCCCTGCCCAGACTAGTGGGCTCTGTGGCACCTGCTTCTTGACTTCCATAATCCAGATGTATCGTTTCACATCAGGAGTCAGACAGAAGCTCCACGGGACTCAAAGGGGCGTGTCAGGTGGCAGACTGGGTGAGCACAGCCCCTCCCTCAATGGCTGCCACGGAAACCTAGGCCCTGCTCTGTGAAGTGGCAGGGCTCTGCTGAGTTACATACAGCTGAGGTCAGTGTGAGCCCGATTAAAGTCCTCTCTCCTGAATTATGGCTTCTCGCTGACCCGAAGGGTTGCTTGCTAATTGTATCCGGTCCCAGTACCAGTCTGTTCTATCCAAGCAAGATAAGCAGCGCTCACTCCCCAGCGGCCCTGCCTGGCGCCATCATGTCAGGTGTCTGGCAGTATTGCAAAAGACGCCTTCAAAGCACACCCTGCTCCCTATTCCCTCCCACGATTATATTCAAAAAATACTGGATGCACTTGGGGCCTTTGTCTTTCTTGCCGTCAGCAACACTGACCAGGACCCAAGACTCAGCGTCTCCACTCTAAGTCTCGTTTCTGTCTGTTCTTGAATTCACCTTGTGCTGTGATGGTTCACAGGCCAGGTCCCACGGCAGAGGTCCTGATAACGTCCCCTTCCCCGTTCCCTACAAAGGATCACACACACACATTTTTAAAAATGTGATCCTTTGTAGGGTGGACCCCACAGGCTCAGACCTCCTGCAAAGACAGAATTCTGCCCACAAGGTGTCATCCCTGGGATGAGACTGCAACTCCTACACATCCTCATTCCAGCCTTGCAAAGCTGAAGCAGAGGACCCAACTAAGCCAGATCTAGACTCCTGACCATAGGAACTGTGAAATCACAAATGTGCGATAATTTGTCAATAAAGGTGAGTAATTTGTCATGCAGCAAAAGAAAACTAATACACCATTCAACCTTTGGTGGGGGGCAATTTCCTCAAGTAAAAATCAGTTGGACAGGAGAAACTTGGTAGCTGAAATTCTGGAATTCTATATAATTTAAATCTTTTTCTATAGTGGAAATTAAAATTTCAGCCAGGTTTGTCTACATTATTAGAAATTCTGCTTTGAGATTATAATCTTTAAGACGCACAGAACAACCCCCACATGCATCAGCACACACACACAACCACAGAGATAACTGATGTCATAGCTACACTTCCCCAACACTGGGGAAGTTAGATGTGAAATGTATAAAAGAAAGGTTCACATTCCTGGAGACTTTCAAAGTACCTGGCCAAGCCAGACCTAGAGAGAGGAAACTATTTACTAAACACTCTCAAGTTATAAAAAGTTCTATCTAGGAAGTGATATCACTAGACAATCCTAAACTTAGATGTCTTGACCTAACTCCTTATTCAGGAAGGAAACATTCCTTTAACACTAAAATAATTTTCAAGAAGTCAGGAGGGATGATAAGGCTTCCAGTTGGGATATAAGCCCCAGAGTTTTGTGAACTTCTGTGCCATGAGAGGTTGAACATAGTCTGGCAAATAACAAGCTCAATAAATACTTATCAAATAAATGAACAAATACAAAAGCTCATAATAATTACTCTTCTCACCTGGAGCCCATCTGACAAAGGGACTGGTAAGATGAGGCTGGCATATACACAATAGCAGAATTATAACACAGCATGAGAAAACTCAGGACTTCAAACCTAGTGGGAGAAAAATGAAAGAGTTTTACAAAATATATTTCTGCCAGAGACTGCAATAAATTATTTATGGGATGGTGATAATATTGCCTTCATATTGACCTTCATGATGTCTCAGGCAGATATTACAGCAGCCCCCACATTGGTTTCTGTTTCCATATCCCCTGCTGCCTTCTCTATTTTTTCTTCGAGAAACAAATCACCACGAGAAACAAATCACCACGCTATCAACAGAAGCCTATCTTTCCCGCTGACTGCACAATAAAACCCAAACATTACAGGGTCTTCACAGTCCATTCTCACCTCAACTCAACTCTCCAGCCTTATTCCCTCCACAGCCCTCAGTACATACCACACACTGCTCCTACCATTCCTTCAATTACTCCTTCAACTTTCCTTTTTGTGGGGGTGGTAACCAGGGATCAAACTCGGATCCTTGCACTTGCAAGGCAGGCGGTGGCACCATTGAGCTAAATCCCCGGCCCATCCCTCAACTTTCCTAACTCCTTGCTTTCATGCTTGCTGCTCCATCTACTAGAATATACCTTGCCACTGAGCTGCACTCTGGTGCAGCAGTGGTGACCCTTTTATAGAGACTTGCGGGGGGTACCAGGGATCGAACTCGGGTCCTTGCTTTTGCGAGGCAGGTGCCAGAACCACTGAGCTAAATCCCTGGCCTGTGGTGACCCTTTTAGAACTTTCAATGCTAACCAACAGCCCTCTGTGGCACATGTGCTGCAAGTTTGCCACCACTGCCCTAGTGCATCAGCCATTTCTTTAAATTCCTAACCAACAAGAGCTTCTCCACGTGTTAAGCACGTTCATAATGACAGTACTGCTGTGTCTATAATACAAGCGCGATATGAAATGCAGATATCCAGATAAACACCAAAGGTTTTACTTAAGAGAGCCTTAGTGGACAACCAGAAGATGGCCTGCTTAGTAAATAATTCTGCTCTAAAAAAAAAATAAATAAAAATAATAATAATTCTGCCCTGCCCCAAGAGAAGTCTGGCCTTTGCTTCCAGGAAACAATTTATGTCATATCTGATAAGACTATCTTTCTTTGTGACACTATACCAGAAAGAACCACAGTGAAATTTAATATGGAGACTTCAGACCACCTGCAGCAGGGGACTAGGAGAACAAGATTGACCATACGACCAATTAATCCAAGGACTCAACCCTATACGATGAAGCCTCAACCAAACCTGGACGCTAGAGCCCGAGAAAACTTCCCCAGAGAGCAACACTCTGTGCACTGTCGCACATCTGAGTCCTGACTCCTTGGCAAAGGACAAAAGCTTTGTGTCCGGAGTCCTGGCTCTATAACACACCCTGTGAGCATAAAAGCTTCTGAAAGTCTTTCTTATACACTGTTAAACAAGAGGGTGCGACACCAAAAACTGAGTTGCTAACAGAACTGAGGGCAGCCTAGGGATAGGGAGATTTTCAGTTTGTCTAATTTCAGGTACTAATCTCAATCTACAATCCAAAAAGCAAGGTGTATAAAAGATAAAAAGCAAAGCATAACAAAACAACCAAAGCAAGATATAGAGAGCAAATAAACTGCCTGAGGGGCAAGTTTCTAAACTGCAACACTAGAACACTAATCTTGGTTTGGCTGACCTGTTCCAACTTTGACTTCTTACACAAGATGACTATAACATCACCACTACCAGACAGAGGCTATTTCATTACCACTCAACTCTTACCCAAAATGCCTGGGACAAGAAGTATTTCTGATTTTGGATTTCTTCTTAGACTTCAGAATGTTTGTGTATATATAATGCAGTATCTTGGGGATGGGATCCAATCTAAAGACACATTCATTTATGTTTCATGTTCACCTTACACAAAGAGGCCGAAGTTAATTCCATACAATATTTTGTGCACTGCCTTTTCACTGTGGCCCAATCACACACAGTCAGATGTGGAATTTTCTATTAGTGGTGTCAGGTTGGTGCTCAGAAAGTTTCAGTTCCTGGAGCATTCTGAATCTCTGATCAGTGATACTCAACCTATTCTATGAACACATTTCATCAGTGTGAAGTACTGAACTTTTGGATTCTTCTCGTATCAAATTCGAAGTGAAGTAATTATAGTCACTTATTGAGCATAAGTTCACAATTGTTACTCACTATAGGTTTGACTATTACCGGTTTTGTGCAGTGAACGTTTCTCTCTGAGGATGAAGATCACTATAAACAACTCTGATGAGGTCATGCTGACACAACGCACCTTCTGTCAAAGCCATGGACCCAATCGTTGAGGGCTACAAAAATAAGGCAGCATTTTTAAGATCAAGTAAATCTCTGAATTGTGGAATGATATCTCATTTTGTTTAAATAAAAGGCAGACTCAAATTATTTATTCCTCTTTGAAAACTATTTCCATTTCTCAATTACATAAATCCTACAGCTTCTTTTGGAAATAAGTATGCAAACTATACAAAATAAAAATATACTGCTTAAGTATTTTAAGGTTATGAAAAAGTTCCATGTTTAGGAAAAAACACAAAAAGACTAAAGGTTAAAACTAAATCAATTTTAATTTCCTTGTACCAGACACAGAATACAACCACTTGTCACTATAATGCAAACAACATTAAAGGCTGTCATCCAAAGTTTCTTTAAACTGACATAACTGATTTCCTCCACCTCTCCCCCTCTTCCCTTCTCCCTTTCCTTCTCTTCCTCTCTCTCTCCCCTTGGTTTTTTGAGACAAGGTTTCACCACGTAGCCCAAGCTGGCCTTGAACATGCACCGATCCTCCTGCCTCAGCCTCCTGAGTGCTGGGACTACAGGCGTGCACTACCACGCTCAGCTTATGTTTCTCAATTTAGAAGAACCATCTATTTATTCAACAGTACTTTACTACCTCCAATTTTATTTCATAACATGACACAAAGAACTTAAATCTAGTACTCTGAAATATCCTATGTTAAAATGAGTCTGGTCTGAATAGGAGACATACTATTTCTAACACAAAACAAAGTCCCACAGGGATTAGTTAAGAAAGCCAGCTGCACAGAACTATGAAACAAGCAGGCCATTGTGTGTTGACAGGAAAATGGGATATAATTTTTAGAGCAAAGTTCTTTAAATGCTTTAATAACTCTGTGCACTAACAGCCACTAGAAATCACCACCTTGACTCATAACGTATTTCTGTATAGGAATTTATTTAAAAAGAACAGGAAAAAAAGAGTTCACTTAACAGGCATCATCTACCTCCATAATCATGTTCTAGTTCTGTTCACCCCAAATAAATATTAACAAAAAATGGAGAGAAAAGTACATTATTGAAAATCAGAATTTGTCAATTAGACTTTCACATAGAAATGTAACAAGTGTTAACATTCTTTGTAGTTATTTTCCTAAAGAATAATAAAAATGAATTAATCTAACATAATTTTGAAGCAATATGAAAGACCTTAAATTTTAAAAATATTTTTGTAAATGCATTTAAGAATAATAAAACTGCTGGTGGAAGAATAAAAAATAAGAATTAGAGGAAATTTCTCCATTAATTACTTTCTCCTCTCTTAACACAGGTCAGACTTATTAATAACAACCATCTACTTTTAAGAAATAAGTAAAGATGTGTTAGAAACACATATCTCTTAAAAACTGACTTCTCATCTCTTTCTTTCTTTCTTTCTTTTTTTTTTGGTACCAGGGATCAAACTCAGTACCTTGTGCTTGCAAGGCAGGCAGCAGAACCACTGAGCTAAATCCCCGGCTTGACTTCTAATTTCTTACTTAATATAATTTTAAACAATTCCATCTTTCCAGTGTTACTTACTTCATGATATATTGAAGGCTTGGATAAGGAAGGGATAGTGAAAGACAAAACTTTATTGTTTCCATCTTTATCAGCAATTTCCTATAATCAAAAAAAAGTACAAAGATAATGAAACAATCAAATGGCCAGAGACCTATAAGACATAATAATTACTTTCTTAATTTACAGAATATACCATTAGGAACTTAGGAAGATTTTAGAAAGAGTAATATATAAAAATATTACTACCTATCATATCTTCTCTAACTAGTACAGTTTTAACCCAAACAGAAATACTGAGCATATTCTACACTAATTCTAACAACATGGCAGCCAGGACAAAAAGCAGGCACACAAATCAATTTCTGTGTTATATTTACGTATAGAAGAGGGAAATTTATTAGATCTTCTAGTAGAAGAACCACTAAGCAAAATACATATTAAAATTAAAGGTCTTAGGCAAGAGATCCACACTTCCTAAAATATGAAGAGAACACTGTTCTAATACAGAATGATTTTATTCAGTTTTACAGATGTAGAGACAAATTTAGATTTATGGTGATGTTCTGATGTATGTTCATGAAATGATTATTATAATCAAGCTAATTTATCTTTTTTTTGGTTTTTTGAGACAGGGTCTCACTGTGTAGTTGAGACTGAGGTGGAACTCACTATGTAGTCTAGACTGGTCTTGAACTTATAGCATCCTCCTGCCTCAGCTTCCCGAGTGCTGGGATTAGAGGTGTGCACCACCACACCTGGCAAGCTAATTTATCTTTTTGGGGGCTGAAAACACTTAAGAATTAATCTTGAAGAAGAAACTCTTATGAATCCTTAGACAATAAGGCTGAACAACCTGAAATAAACTAAATGTTAGTCAACATTATTAATAAAGGTCCAAGTAATTACAAATAAATCAGTACTTAATTTCTACCAAGTGCTAAGAAAATTCTGGTGATTTAAACATCTTTTTTTTTGTTTTTTTGGTACTGGGGTTCGAACCTGGGACCTTGTACTTGCGAGGCAGGGGGTGGAACCACTGAGCTAAATCCCCAGCCCTTTCTTTGTGATTTTTAAAAAACACATTTCTTCATTGAAAGGACTATATTGCCCTTTATCTCTTCCATCTCCCTTGGGTGCCAGTAAGTACCTCCCTACAGACTCAGTGCTCAGGGGTCAAATGCTGCTGCCTCTCTCCTCCTCTGCCCACACTACTTTTTTTTTACACTTCCATCACTACACACTGGTGGGGACAGAACTCACAGAGAGAATTGTCCTTAGCACACCAGGATGGCAAGGGAGCCGGAGACTGCACTGCATCAAAGGAAGCAACAGTAAGCAGCTGCCATCATTAAAACACAGCCTTGCAGAGCTGGCCACCAGGCCTTATCTCTGAGTGCAGCAGCTCAGAGGAGAGCACCCACCAATTATATGTGAGCAGTAATAATACACGTTAATTTTGGCAGGGATATTCCCCAGGTAGCCAATGTAACTTCTCTGTAGTCAAAGGATTTACCACCAAAGCTAGTTCATTTTACTTCAGATTGTTTATGCTAAGATGAACGGGCCTGACTAAAGTTAAGCCAAAACCTTAAATTTTATTCCTAAATTTTCAAGTGAAGCCATTTTCTGCTGATTTATCTTTAATTGTATGTGTGATCAGATATACATACATACATATACATATATATATAATTTTATTTTATTTATTTATTTTTGAGACGGGGTCTTGCTCTGTAGTTCAGGCTAGCCTTGAACTCACAGTGTGGCCCAGGCTGTCCAGTGCTGGAATTACAGGCGTGTGCCACCATGCCTCTTCCTTATCTTTGTGTATATTTGTGGAGGACAGAAAGTTGAAATTTGCTGAGGGCAATACAAAACTCCCTTGGGGCTGTGTGAGGCAAACAAGAAATGCTAACGAGGAGGAAAAAAAGAGAAATGTATACACAAGGGAAAAAACATGATTTAAGAAAAAGAAAGAAAAGTAAGGCAGGGAAGGCAGAACGAGATAAAAAGGGGGGGATAAGGATGAGGAGAGAGAAACCAACCAACCTGAGAACCACAGAGAAAAGAGACACAGATATCAAGGAATTACACTTCTGACACATCACTGGACATTTTCCTTTCAGTATAGTATTTCTGAGGTGTCAAAAGATTTTAAAACATGAGAAGCGAGGTATGGTGGCACACAACACCTCCTGAGTGCTGGGAAGATGAGGCGGGAAGATGAGGCAAGAGGATAGCAGTGAGTTTTAGGACGGTCTAGACTACATAAGAGAGCTCAAGACTAGCAAGAACTACTTAGCAAGACCCTTTCTAAAAAAAAAAAAAAGAAAGAAAAGAAAAGAAAAGATAATTAAACCCATCACCAATAAGTACTGTCAATAACTTATCACACAATCTGCTTTGCAAAATACTGTTTCACTTACCTCATTATTCAATTTTTTTTACACTATACAAATGTTACAATTTATTTGTCTTGTTTTGTTTTTTTGGTTTTTGGTACCAGGGATTGAACTCAGGACCTTGCACTTGTGAGGCAGGCAGGGGAACCACTGGGCTAAATCCCTGGCCCTACACTAAACAAATGAACACAAATGATAGCTTAATGATGAAACACTAAGCTCAATTATTACTTCAGTAAACATTTACTGTCTGTAGTAGGCCCTTAGGAAACTCAGTGATACAGAAAACAAATTTTGTGCTCTACAAGAAAATACAAGCCAGCACTATTGCAGGCTGAGGCAGGAAGATCACAAGTTCCAGCTTATCCTCAGCAACTTAGGAAGACCCTACCTCAAAATAACACAATAAAAAAAGATGGGCATGAAGCTTTAGTACAAAGGCCCTGGGTTCCCTAGCACCTGGAAAAAAAAAAAAAGTAAAGAAAAACAATCAGGTAAGTTAGCAAGTAGAAAATTTCATTTCAATGCTAGCTTTTCATTTAAAAAGAAACTTCTGTTTAATTATGATAAGTGATAAGAATAAACATTTACTAAACACCTTAGACAACAAGCTAAATTTTTCCAATTATTTTTAATCCTAACACTTTTTTGCTTCTGTTTACAGAAGTCAAGGTATTCAGTAACCTGATCCTACTTAGAATTGACAGTAAGCAGCAGAACCTGTTCTGTACTGAATACCAGTGACGCTAAAGCCCACATGCCTTCCTGATGTATGACAATGGAAATGCTTCCCGGTGATTAAGTGATGAAGACTCAGGGGGTTAGCACTGGACTAGCAGAATATTTATCATTGTGCGACTTAATTTTTTGGTACCTTATTATCTCTCAACTATAAAAGTAAATTTTACTATGTGGAATATTTAAAAAAGTGTACTAGTTACACAGAATCAAAGACTTCAAATAGCAGGAATTTCAATGCAAATGTCCTAAAATGAACATCATGAGCAAAAGCAAAATACTAATTGTTTTTTGTTTTTGGTACCAGGGATCAAACTTGGGCCCCTGCACTTGCAATGCAGGTAGCAGAACCACTGAGCCAAATCCCTGGCCCTACTAATGCTTTAAGGTACTTAAGAATTTCTTAGGAGGAAAGAGTTTCATAAACACTGTATTAGCAAATAATAAATTTATAAATTGCACTGGGTATGGGCATGGTCATGCATGTCTGTAGTCTAAGCTATACAGGAGGCTGAAGCAGGCGGATCTTTTCAGCCCAGAAGTTATAGATCAGCCCTGGCAACACAGCAAAGCCCCATCTCAAACTAAATTACTCAACTCAACTAAAATAAAACAAAAATTTACAGGTTGCTAATCAAATTTTTATGACCAAACTACATTTTGGAGGGGGCTAAAAAACTATACTTTGAATTGGAAATTTATACAAGCCAGCTCTGTATTATAAAGCTAAATAGAAAAATACTTTATGCCAGTGGCTTCTTAATCACACCCCTCACTGACTTGAAGCCACACGCACTAAAATCACAGTTGTGTGTGGGTGAGTCCAGGTAAATATACAATTCTGCACAGATGGCACAGGAAGAGCCTCGCCAGCCGTCCTCAGAGCCTTCAGCACTCTCTCCTCCCACTCACCTGCTCCCCTGCAGCCAACATCCTTCTAGTCAACCCCTGAAGCCCATCCTGTGCTAACACACCTCCCATCCAGAAGGGCAATCGCAGGGCTGGGGATTTAGCTCAGTGGTTCCGCACCTGCCTCGCAAGCACAAGGACCTGAGTTTGATCCCCCGTACAAAAAAAAAACCAAACACACACACACACACACACACACACACACACACACACACATACACACACGGAGGCACAATCACAGCTCAGTCTTCAGGCTCCACAGAAGGTCCTACTGCCTCAGAAATGTCAGTGATTTCTTTTTTCCCCTCTTGTTTACATTGTGTCTGTACTCATATTTACACAATCATAATATGCCTAGTCGTGTACTTGACTTCCACCCATTAACAGATATCTTCCCCTTAGAGAAAGAGAAATCTCACGTCTCCTTCCGCAGTCTTCTCAGTTACATAGGTCAACTCAAAATATAAGGAATGGTGATTAAACTTCTAATTCCAGGGTCTCATCATCTTAGCACACTACATAATTACTTTCCTAATGCATATTAAAGAAAACCTAAACTTTTCACTTCAAAAAGAAATTATTTTCCTTTATCAAGGTATGATTTGAGATATATGTAATTTATTTTACTTATTTTTTTTGGTACTGGGTATTGAACTCGGGACCTCCTGCTTGCAAGGCAGGCAGCGGAACCACTGAGCTAAATCCCTGGCCTTTATTTATTTATTTTTGAGACAGGGTCTCAACTCTATAGCCCAGGCTGGCCTTGAACTCTTGGGGATCCTTCTACCTCAGCCTCTGGGATGCTGGGATTATAGGCGTACACCACCACACCCAGCCCAGTTCAGCTAATATCTGAGTTCCTCCCTATAATTCTTTTTATACACAAACTGCATTATTAGTCATCTGTAAACACAACTTCTCCAGGAGAGCAAAAACTCTAAAAGCAGGTACCATTTTTAAGTCTTTGTATTTTCAGGGTACAATTCTGTCTTACACAGCATTCATATTAGCCAAATACTGTAATCTGAAGAAATAAGTCCTTAGATATTAACAATAGTTTCATCTATTTTCCAAAATGCTTATCATTACTTCTATACTCAATTAGTTCAAATAAATTATGCAGTAGTCTATTTTTTCTCTAGACATTCCTTATATTTTATTTCAAAGGACTTTTAAAAGTATTTTTAATTTCCCAAACTATTATTTTCAACTTACCAAATTATAAATTCCTAACAGAAGTGCTTCAATGCAACCATTACTCTGTCTGTCTCGACTAACTGTAAGCCGTAAATAAACCCACATCAATTCTGGCAAGAACTGCAGAGTGAACCTCTTTAGTCGAACTTCAGAACTACGATAGAGTTCAAACAGCTGATGGCAGACAGGTTCCAAGAGCTAAATGAAAAAAAAAAAGTGCATTAGTTATTTCCTTTACGGGGCTGTAACTGTATTCTTTAAAAGGCACACATAACTTGTATAATATTTTAAAAGTAAATTCTTAATATTATTCCATAGTTTGAGAATTTAACCAAATCTCCACTTAGAGACCATATACTGAACTGACCAATCCACTAATTATAAGAAGGGCTTCTGTCCATACAGTATCACCATACTTTTTAATATATGGTACTATCAAATTAAAATAATCAGTCCTTGTATTATCTACATGTATATTTGGTGACTTTCCCTTTCTGTTCTAAACTCTTACCATCCTCCATTTAAAAAAATTTCCATTGCAATAAAATAATTTCCAATGGTCTTGCTGGAAATAAAGTTTATATTTTCAAGTGAGACAATAATTTAAACAAACTACATATCACTCATCAGGGGAAGATTTTGCAATACATACTATTTGGGCATCCAAAATTCCAGCTAATATTTTAAATACATACAAGTAAAACAAACTGATTACATTTATGTTTTTTAAAAATCTAAATTTTCACTAGTTATATTTATCTGAAAGATTTCAAAAGGGAGTAAAGTATGCAGAAATAGTGTTTTCAATGTTTAACTGATTAATTGTTCATATGCTGTCACAGAAAACGAGTAATGAGGGACTTAAAACCAAAGAACAAAATATCAGATATAGAAGACAGGTTTGCTTTAGTGATCTTGAAAAAAGAGATTTCTTAAAAATAGCAAGGGACCATAAGAAATCAATCCAGCAGCTGCTAGATGATACAAAGCAAAATAACATAAGATTGATGAGAGCTAATGAAAAAGCAGGAGATAGCGCAAATGACATAAAAAACCTGTTCACAGAATAGCAGAAAACTTCCCAAAAGGGAAAAAGAATTTTGACATACACATCAGTGAGGCATATAGGATTCAAATTAGCCATGATCAAAAAAATCACCTACAGAGGAAAAACCATCAGAATCATAGCAGACTTCTCAAAACAAATTCTCAAGTCGAGAGGTTGGACTGAAGAATTTCAAGCCCTAAAGGAAAACAACCTCCAACCCAGATTGATGTGCCCTACAAACAAATAACACCTGAAGAAATTAATGATCACTGAACCAGCACTCCAAAGTGTTCTGAAGGATATTCTACAAAGAGACAAGGATTATAACTCCATGAACCCCAAAAGGCAAGGCAAGAAATTAAACAGAAAAGGAAAGAAGAAAGCAAGCCAACAACATGAAAACAAATAAGATAATACGTTATCAGTTAAAAGCATCAATGTTAATGGTCTCAATTCACCAATCAAAAGAAACAGACTGGCAGAATGGATCAAGAAGCAAGAAACACATTTAAAGTTGCAAGGACCTGAGTTCGATCCCCAGTACCAAACCAAACCATCAAACAAACAAACAAAAACCCAACATTTAATTCAAAACCACATTCATAGACTGAAAGTCAAGGGATGGAAAACAATATTCCATGTAACAGAAAAGCAGGGGTAGCTATTCTATTTTTAGATAAAGAAGATTGCCAGGTCTTGGATAAAGGGAACCATCCAAGACGAAGAGATAACAATCATAAATATTTATGCACCAAATAGCAGTGCACCCAACTATATAAAACAAATATTAGTGGACATGAAAAATCATATAAGCCCTAATACAGTTGTATTGAGGGACCTCAATAGCCCGCTGTCAAAAACAGATCAACTAGACAAAAAATCAACAATGAAATATTAGAACTGAACCGATCTTTTGAAATATTAAAACTGAAGCAATCTTTTGAAATATTAGAACTGAAGCAATCTTTTGAACAAAGGACTTAGTAGACAGACGTCTACAGAGTGTTCCAGCCCATACTGTCAAAATACACATCCTTCTCAGCTACACATGGGTAGAACATTCCCCAAAACAAACTACATACTAGAACAGGCTTAGGAAATAAAGGGAAAGGAAATGAAATTATCCCATGCATATTATCAGACGACAGAGCAAAGAAATTGAAAATCAATGGCAAAAGAAACCACAAGAATTTTATAAGCACATGGGAATTTAATAACACCTGCTAAACAAGCAGTGGGTCACAGATGAAATTAAAGAAGAAATCAGTTTCTACAACTAAATGATAATGACAATACAACATACTAGAACTTATGGGATGCAATGAAAGCAGTTCTAGGAGCAAAATTTTATAGTGGTGAATTCCCATATCAGAAAAACAGAACGGGCTCAAATAAACAACTTTTTGTTGAACCTCAAGCTTGTAGAAAAAGAGCAAGTCAAGCCCGAAACTCATAGAAGAGATTATAAAAACCAGAGCAAAAATTAAAAATACAATACAAAGAATCAATGAATCAGAGTTGGTTCTTTGAAAGATTAAATTGACAAACTCTTAGCCAAACTTATCAAAAGAAGGAAATCCATGCAATTAGGAATGAAAAGGGTGAAATCACAACAGACTCTGCAGAAATCTAGAATATTATCAATAACTATTTCGAGAACCTATATTCTAATAAGATGGAAAATACAGAAAAAATGAAGATTACTAGATACATATGAATTACCAAAACTGAATCAAGAAGATATAAAAATTCTAAATAAATGAATACCAGCCAATGAAATTGAAGATGTAATTAAAAACCTACTAACAAAGAAAAGCCCAGGCCCTGATGGATTCACTGCTGAAGACAAGAAATTTAGAGAAGACCTAATACTACTACTTCTCACTCTTTAATGAAATTGTAAGGGAAGCAATACTCCCAAATTCATTCCAGGAAGCAAGCATTACTCTGATTCTAAAATCAGAGAAGGATCCAAAAAAGAAAATTATGGGTCAATTTTCCTATTGAACATAGATGCAAAAATTCTAAGATACTGGCAAACAGACAATAAGGTTATACACCATGACCAAGCTGGATTCATCCCAGGGATGCAGGGATGGTTCAACATATGCAAATCAATAAATGTAATACACTATATTAACAAAGCCAAGGACAAAAACCATTATCATCTCAATAGATGCAGAAAAAGCATTTAACAAGGTCTAACACCACTTCAAAATTAAAAAAAAAAAAAAAACCTATAGAAAATTGGAACAGATGGTCTTTATCTCAATCTGATAAAAACCATCCATGACAAACCAAAAGCCAACATCATACTAAATGGACAAAAACTGAAAGCTTTCACTCTAAAATCAGGAACAAGACTAGGAGCTCTAGTGTTACCACTCTTGTTTAATACATTTCTGGAAACACTAGCCAGAACAATTAGACAAGGGAAAGAAATAAAATAAGGATAGGAAAGAAAAAGGCAAATAATCATTATTTGCGAATGACAAGATACTCTACACAGAAGACCCCAAAAACTCCACTGAAAGACTTCTAGATTTGATAACTGAATTCAGTGGCATAGCTAGATACAAAGTCAACACTCAAAAATCAATAGCATTCCTGTAAATGAATAGAACTGAAGAAAAGGAGCAGCTACAATTACTGACCCAGGGGAATGGAAAAAAAACAAGAACCAAGATACATCATGTAAAGGTATAAATTCCCAATGATGAATGTAAATGTATTATATACCTAAAACATACCAATGAAAGTATTTAAGAGAAAAAAAAAATACTGACAATTTGAATGGTTTTGTAAGCTTAACGCAGTCTGAATAATACTATGACTTTTTTTTTTTTTTTGGTACCAGGGATCAAACTCGGGTCCTTGTGCTTGCAAGGCAGGCGGCAGAACCACTGAGTTAAATCCCTGGCTCCAAACTGTGACTTTTAAATACCTAAAACTAATCAGAACTATAAAGCAGTATGTGCGCACGCGCATACACACACACACACACACACACATTTTTTTTAAAAACATGGTATGGCTATATACTTCAGGGTGGCTTCAAACTCATAATCTTACTGCCTCAGCCTGACCATGCAATGCTAGCTATTAGGGGTTTTTTTGTTTGTTTGTTTTTGGTACCAGGGATCAAACTCAAGTGCAAACCTTTCACTTGCGAGGCAGGCAGCGGAACCACTGAGCTAAATCCCCTTATCATTGTTTTTCTGAAGTCTGAATATATATATTTAGGGCTCTTTGACTTGTCGGGAGAAAGGGTGTAAAATGCAAACCTGCCGTAACCTTATTATAATGAATGCTGGGAACCTAGCTCTCACAGGTTGTACTTTCACCATTTCGATCCATGACTCTGAGGGCCCACACATTGATACTATGAAGCATCACAATATGAAGTAATAACGATTAAAACATCATAGCTTTCAAAGTATCAAAAAGAGGAAAGAGATACTTTTTATACACTAGTGAGTCTGAATGAAAATGAGAACTTTTAAAATCTTTTTATATTTCACTTTGCTTTTTTATGGTGGTGTGGGGACCAACTCACAATGACAGGGCCTCATATGCACTAGACCAAGTGCTCTTCCACCCCTCCTCAGCCTGATCAGGATTTTCTGTATGACAAAACACTAGGTTCTAGGGAAGTAACAAATGTGGACTACATGACCACTGCCCTTAAGAGTGTACAATCTAAAGGGAAAGCATAAATAAAACAAGTTTTTGTCTTTTTTTTCTTGCACTATCAGGGATCGAACTCAGGACTTTGTGCTTGCAAGGCAGGCGCGGTACCACTGAGCTAAATCCCGGGCCCAGCATAAAATAAATTTTAATAAACAAAGCTTAAATGTTAAGATGAAGCAAAATAAGGGATAGAGAACATACACACTCATTATTTAGAGAACTATGAATACTCCTGACCAAGGATAGGTATATTACGTACATGATCCATATCTAAGGTTACAAAACATTCAGAAATACACTGCAAGAGAAAAAGAAGCAAACGAATCTTGTAATTTCTGCCACGAAGAGCAAGAGATGCAAGCCTGAGAGGCAGTCCAAACCGAGACAGGGAAGAAGGAGGTCAATAAGCAAGCTTTTAGTGAGAGAAGAAAAAGGAAGGTGCATTCTAAGTTAGGCTGCTGGTTAAGAGGTGATTACCTGAACTTCTTCAAACTCACTCCAGTACACAGCAGGGGCACTCTTGGAGACTGTATCTGGGAAGATAAGAAGCTACTTTCCTGTGTGCTCCTTTCATTTGCATATTAAAGCATACATGAATCCAGTGGTGATAAAACTGTATGTCATACTATTGCGTTAATGGAGAGATATGTGTATTTGGGATAAGTTAATATATAAATTCAATAACTACATTTCCCCCTTTGATCACAAAGTTGAATAATAATAGGAAACTATTATTCTAAGTTTACTAAAAAAGTGCTTCTTCAGATCACTTTAAGACTAACGTTATAGGTAGCATCATTTTATTATAAGTTTGATTTTACTGATTAGAGTAATTATATATGGTTCTCTATTATCAATAGAATAACAGTAAATAATATTAAAAGGTTTTTAAAAGGTGAATCAGTTATACAGTAAAATTTGGCTTCCAGAGCAGGAAACATTCTAGGACATGAGGCAGGGAAAAGTTTCAAATTAAACAAATAATCCATTGATCTGACTATCACTCAAATCACACTGCCCTTAAGAGGAAAGGATGTGAACAAAACATTTTAAAATATGGAAAGGAAGGAATGGGGAAAGCCAAAGCAACTATCAGAATGAAATAGCAGAAAGAAAAATTTCCAGATCCACAAGGATAGAAAACTACAACACTTGTATTTGTGTCTAGGACACATATTTCATTTTACTATGTAGATATTTTTTCCTTATCAATTTTCATACCTCATTATCTGAATCTTGAATAACTTTATAAAGGGCTGGTACAAGTGTTTTTTTCCGGTGGAGAGTTGCTGCATAATTGGTGATCTGAGTGTCAGGTAATACCTGAAAGAAACCACCACAGGAAAACAAAAGTGAACTTAATTAAAAAAAAAAAAAAAATTTTTTTTAAAAAATTTTATACCATTCCCCTCCAAGCCCCATCCCCATCTATGTACAAAAGATTTGTTTTCATTGTTCCCTCTATTTTCACTTTTTTTCTTGTCCCTTCCTCCCTTGTTCCTCTTCCCACTTGAAAACTTTCTGCCCATTTCCCAACATCCATTATACATTTCAGTCTTTATTTTCACTTTTGGTTTCTCACACCGGAGAAATAATGTGGTATTTAAACATTTGTGTCCCATATATTTCACCTAAAGAGTATGGTCTCAAGATACACTCTCATACTATATAGCTAATGGTCTCAGCCATTAGCTATAAATTATATATATATACATATATATATATACATATATATATAAATAAAACTCAAACAAACTCACCTCACACCACATCTCCTTTATCCACTTGTCAGCTGATGGGCATTTGGGATGTTTCCAAGATTTAGCTATTTATAAACTGTGCTGCCATGGGTGTGCATATATTGCTGGGGTATGATGCTTTTAATTCTTTTGGGAAGATACCAAGAAGAGGTACAGCTGGGTCAAATGGAACCTCTAGTTTTAGTTTTTTGAGAAATCTCCACACTGATTTCCACAGTGGTTGCACCAGTCTACACTCCTACCAACAGTGAAGCACGGTTCCTTTTTTCCCACAGTCCCTTCAGCGTTTGTTACTGGCTGATTTCTTGATAGCAGCCATTCTTTTTGGGGTGAGATGGAATCTTGCCATTGCCTTAATTTGGATTTCACAAATGACCAATGATATTGAATATTTTTTCATAATACTTTATTTGCCATTTCTAATTCTTCCTCTGAGAAGTGTTTCCATTTCTGATGCCCATTTTTGTATTGGGTCTTTAAATTTGGAAGGGTTTGACTTTTTTTTTTTGGTACCGGGGATTGAACTCAGGTCCTTGCACTTGCAAGGCAGGCCACCAAACCGCTGAGCTAAATCCCCGGCCCCAAGGAAGGGTCTGACTTTTTTGAGTTCTTTATATATTGTAGAAAATAGTCCTTTGTCTAAATAGCTGGTAAAATTGTGTCTCGGCCTTTTGGCTAAGATCAGGTGTAAATAGCTGGTAAAAATTGTGAACTTAATATTTAAGAAGTGAAGAATTTTGTTTTACAAGAGTTTCTCTTGAAAATTAAGAAAAGTAAAAATAAATAAATAAATAAATAAATAACCATAATAGTTAATCAGATTAAACTGGTGTGCTATATAACTACCTATGCAACCATGAAATATGATTAGAAATAACACATTATGCCCAGATTTGCTGAAATGGACCACCTTAAATCTAACCATGAAATAAAAAGTTTGGAGGCTCTTTTCTTTTGAACACAGTCTGTTGCTTTGTCTCATTTCTTGTTTTCAGAGGAGGTTTTCCTAAACTACATTGTCCAGGTGGGTCTTGAATTCCTCGGCTCAAGGAACCTTCTCTTGCCTCTCAGCCTGCAGAGTACTATAGCTGAACTACAGGGCTGCGCCCTGAAAATATCACCTCATCGATTACAGCCATTATTTTCAGTTTCTGGTCCTGATGCATATTAAGGACTTTTTACAGAATTGCACTCAAAGAAATACAGAAGTACCTTGGTTCGTGAATGCTTTTGTAAAATTTTGGTAAAGAAGCATTTGGTAAAATTTTGTTTTTGTTTGCAAACTCTGCTTCAGGTGATGAACACGACCATAGCCATCTTTTCTGCATGAACACAAATGTAGCCATCTTCCCCATTTTCTTGGAACAAATTAAGTTCGTTAACCAAGATACTACAGTATTATTTATTTTGTCATTTCTACTGCACAGCATTTTTTTCTATTATACAACACATATTCACCAAATTACTGAATTTATATGTTCTTATCCTCAATCTATTTTACCTTGAATTCTGATAACCATTCTTCTACAACACCACGTTCAGATCCCAGCATCTTCTACCTTCTATTTGTCTGTCTCTAAAATTTAAAAAAGCAGCACATTACCCTAGAACAGTAATGATGGCAGAAACTACCAAAGGTAATGATGGGTGCTTTTTACCACAAAATAAATTCATCCAATACCTATTTTAGATGAAAGATTTGCTTTTAGTATTAAGTGCAATTATAACAAAATTTTCTCAGAAATAAGTTCTATTCTTAATGATACATATGTATATATACATATATATGCGCGCACACACACACACACACACACACACACACACATATATGTATATATATATATATATATCCTTGTACCAGGGATCGAATTCGGGTCCTTGCGCTTGCGAGGCAGTTGGCAGAACTACTGAGCTAGATCCCTGGCCCATACATGATACCGTATATCTGAAACTTATTTTCCTAGTACTTTCATATTTTTGCCCAACAAGTATACTTCATATTGGCAAATAAAGAATCCTGAGTGAAATTAAACTGCACATTGTTCAAAACAGACAGAATTTACACCACCAGCATTAAGTTATACATCACAGAACAAATTATATATGACAGGCTACAAGTGATAAAACTAGATCAACTAGAAAGCAAGAGTAAAAAATTCATCAAGCTGATAATAACATCACACTATTCAAAAAGAGGCCTTTGAAGAAGATAAAGTCATAAATTTTCTAAGACAGAAAAATGTTCAAGTACAAACTGCAATGGAAGCAAATATTCACTGAACCTTTAGGTTTGAGGATAGTCTAACTATGTAGTTGTGAACAAAAAAGTAAGATAATGAAAAGGCAATATTTTTCAAGAGGGTGTCAAACTGCACATTGCATTTCTAAGGTAAAACACACATGAGCTTTCTACTTTTTTCCTCTAATTCCAGAAGATTTTTAAGATATGTTTCTACAAAGCACTACATCAATTGCTATGTACACAATGCTATGAAAAGGAGTAAGACACCCATTTGTATTCAAATAACAAATGCTTACACGATAGACTGATGGATTATCTTCAAATAAATTAAGATATGTAAGAAAATATGTACCACCAACCCAAGTATGAACTTTATTTGAACCTGATTCAAATAATTAAAAAGAGAATACAACTGGAGAAAGGTGAATGTGACTGGTTATCTGATGGTATTAAGGAATTATCCCAGTTTATTTTTACATTTAATAACGGTAATATAGTCTGATACTATAAAACAGACCTGACTTGTTAGAGATACAGACTGAAAATATGTGTTGGTACAATGATGCTTTAAAAATAACAAGGGGATTCTCTGAGGCTCACACTGTGATGATTAGGTTTTCAAGGCACTGCCTCTGCTATGAGGTGTTCTCCCACAGCCTAGCTGCAATGTTGACATGTTACAAATGGCACAGAGCACACAGACACAGGAGAAGACCCACTAACCACAAGCAGACAACCATGGAATATCAGTGACTGGCACACAAATTACACTACACTGCTCTACTATGATATAGATTTGAAAAGTTTCATTAAATACTAGAAACAAGTTTACAGATCCACTGAAGTTCATTAACAGACGTGGACAACCAAATTTAAAACTCCTAAATGGGCAAAGTGGAGTTTCGCAGCACTCTGGGAAGCTGAGGCAGGAGGACTGCAAGTTCAAGCCCAGCCTGCAGTGAGTGACACCCTGCCTCAGAATAAAAAATGCTTCTTTGAAAAGGGCTGAAGATTTAGCTTAGTTCCAAAATCCTGGGTTCACTCCCCAGTACAACAAAAAATGAATGAAATAAAATAAAATGTAAAAGCCACAAAAAACAAACTACAAAAGAAATGAGACTCTTAAATAACTTCACAAATAAGGAACTTTATATCCAAATTTATAATGCTCTTCAAATAAGTCATTTTTTAAGGTTCCTCCATTTATCCTGATGATTCAAATCCTTGCCAGATTTCCCTGTTTTTCCTTTCCAAAACCAATTAGTTAAGGGGTACTAACTACTCTTTAAACCCCTACTTCTTCATTAAAAATACACTGCATGACATAACTAGTATTAGTGTGTATCTTACTGTACTGCAAATAATACCTCAATTCAAAAGTTTACATTATAAGGCCTGAGGATGTAGCTCAGTGGTAGAGTACTTGCTTAGCCTCCGTGAGATTCTAGGTTCAATCTCCAGCACAACAAAAAATAAAGAATAAAAGATAAAATAACAAGCATAGATCCATATATTGTACCTTCCAGTTTTGAACAACCGTTTAGCTGTCAAAAAGCTATCACCCCTGGAAATTTCTCAGCACCCAATTAGGGAGCTACCCAAAAAGCAAAGGAGGAATTCAGTAAGAAATTCATTGCTTCAGGGCCGGGGATTTGGGTCAGTGGCTCCATGCCTGCCTCGCAAGCGCAAGGGCCCAAATTCAATCCCAAGTACCAAAATAAATACATACATACATATATACTTCTACCACAGTCTTATGCCAGGCATTATAACAAGGGTGGAAATGTAACAGTAGACAAACCCAGATGTAGACCTGCACTAATTAAGCATTTGTGTAGTGTAAGATACCAAATTCATTTTGGGTTCTTTTTTGGGGGGTGGTAGTGATGATGCTGGACATTGAACCCAAAGGGATAAAGGATTAGAAGGAAAGGCACATGAAGGCGCAAAACAAAGGCACTAAAGCCGGGCGTGGTGGCACACGCCTGTAATCCCAGCACTGGGGAGGCTGAGGCAGGAGGATTGCTGTGAGTTTGAGACCAGCCTGGGCTACACAGTGAGTTCCAGGTCAGTCTCAACTACATAGTAAGACCCTGTCTCAAAAAACCAAAAGAAGGCACTCAAATTGACCAAGGAGTCAAAAGAGGCTTCTCTGAGATAATGCTTAAGCTGATATATCAACAATTAAGAGTAAAGGGAGGAGAAAAGCACAGGAAGCTATAGGATCTGAAAGAAGACCCAAGGGCCTTGAACCACAGAGTGTGAGCAGCAAGGACTGTGGTGCACAGGCCCAGTCTGATGGCAGACAAAGGACTATCTTTGGGCACATTCAGAATTTGTAAAGCATGTGGGTAGTAAAACTCATCCTTTGAAGAGCTCACATGGCTATAAGGTAGAAAGAGAATTGGCATCCTGTTTTTTTTTAAGATAGGGTCTCACTATATAGTTGGGACTGACCTGGAACTCACTATGTAGGCTGGTCTTGAATTCACAGTGATCCTCCTGCCTCAGCCTCCCGAGTGCTGGGATTACAGGTGTGCACCACCACGCCCAGCTGGCATCCTGTTTTCAACTTGCTACAATTTCCCCAGTAATATAAATATTGAAAAAAAATTACAGGTCACTATAGCATTAGCTCTGCCGTATCCCTGCAAGTTAAAAATCCTGAACAGCTATTGATTATAAAAGTTTTATTAACACAGTACCTGCATAACACTTATAAAACTAATACAAAAAAATCAGAATCAAGACAATTCTAGTGAGTATCTAACACTGAAACATTAATTCATAGAAAATTGTAAAGTATTCGAAAGGGACACTACAAAGAAAGAACATAATGTATCCAACAGTGTTTTAAAAATCACCTTGCTTGGTTAAGGCTTGAAATTTCTAAGATAAAAACCACATTCATGGTATCACAGGTCCATAATCACAGCACCCAGCAGTCTGAAAACAGGAGGATCTGGATTCAGAAACAGTGTGGGCTACGAGAAAGTCTGAGGACACTGGGTGTGTCTGTGTGCGTGCGTAAGTGTGTGTGTGTGTGTGTGTGTGTGTGTGTGTGTGTTTGCATGCACGCGTGTGTGTAAAGGCAGACATTTCCAGGCTACTCCTCTTTCTGTTTATTAATGTACAAAATTTATAAAACCAAAAGGAAAAAGAAAATGCTCATCCCCAAATCTACTGTAGCTCCAACCAAGATCCTATTCAAAATCCACCAAATCCCTCTTTCTCATGAAAGTGATACAAAACAGGTGATGGCAGCAAGGAATAAAGAGGCAGGAACTAGAGATTTAGCTCAGTGGTTCCACCACCTGCCTCGCAAGCGCAAGGTCCCAGTTCGATCCCCGGTACCAAAAAGAAAAGAAAGAATAAAGAGGCTGGATCTTAGGTGAGTGCTCATTCCCTAGTACAAGCTGCACATTTTGAGTCCTTTCTCAAAGTATGAACCTGTGACATTCACACCCACACCCACATCACAGGGCAGCTAGGTTGATGATGGCAGAGTCACCTAGTGAGACCATGCCTCATCTGCTTTGGTCCAGCACTCTGCCTCCACTGACTTCTTCCCTAGAGAAACCTGGCAGAGTGGGGCTCCAGCATCTTGTCCTGTCACCACTTCTGAACCTCTACCAGGCTTTCCTGGGAGAATACAACCAGGTAACCCAACCCTTGCCCAGCTTGCTGCCACTTGCCTCAGCACCAGATTTTTCTAATTGGGTTTGTGGAGGTCTTGGGATACAGCAACAATGGATTTGGGGATGACTATTTTTCTTTGAGTTCTCTGTATATTGTACATTAAAAATAAACAGGGGAAGGGTAAGCAAGTTTTTTTTTTCTTTTTCCCTAAATAAATAAAATTTACTTATTTATTTGGCTGCACTAGTCACATTTCAAGTGCCTGGCAGCAGCTACAGGGCAATGGTCATCCATACTGGACAATCCCAATAAAAACAAAGCCATGGTCACCAAAGTTCTATTGGATTATATTGATTTAGATACAGCCAGATAATGCAATCCTGCTGAATAAGCTCAATAATTCACACACACACACACACACACACACACTCACATATATACAGAAAGAGAAATCGACAGATAAGTAATTATTTCAGGTAAAACTGCATAATAAATTAAGTCTCCAAGGACTACCAAAAACACTAACATTTAATGACAAGGGAAATTTAAGTTAAAATCATAATTGTACCTGATTTAGATCAGTTTTCTAAAGGTGGAGGTGGCACAGGAATGCAGCAGAGGTCAAGTGTAGAATTCATTTGTTGATAGTTAAATACTTTCCAGCTCTATAAAAATAAAAATGAAAACGACTAATACAAAGAAGAACAATTTTGATGATACATTTATAATATCATTCATATAATCATAAAAGTTACGGATTTTTAAAATTTCTATAACAATTAGGATATTTGTGTACCTTTATCAAGTCTAATTAAAAAAATACATTATTTTAGAGACAGAAAGTGAATTTTAGTTTTAACCTTGCCATTAATTTGTGACACCCTCGGTGGGTCACTTAAATTTTACTTGTATGTGTGTATGTAATGTATTATTTTGCGTGGAGCCTCACCTGAGTAATCTACAAAACTGTATCTCTTCTAGACAAAAATTCTGCAACTTTTGAAACATGTCACAAAAATCTCTTCCTCTCTCATGCACATAAGCACAACCATTAAGAAACACAAAGTCCTCATTCAAACTTTAAATGGCAAGGCTGGAGATACAGCTCAGTGCAGGGTGTGCTTCACATATGTGAAGGCTCTGGGCTTGATACCCAGCACCTCTCAAAACAAAAAATTTTTAAAATGTGCAATACAAAACCAAACTCAAATACTACAAAGGCAACAAAATCATTTTGAATGAGTTTCACCTAACTGAAAAATTATCATTTTTACCTACAGATGCTATTATCCATAAAAACAGCTGATAATCTAGAACTGAAAAATAATACATATTTTTTTCTCATTGAGTTTATTGGTACTTTTAAAGTACACAGTACAGTTACATTTATCATTGGGATCTTCTACCTTTACATGACAGATCTTGGTTCTCATTTTTTCCCCAGACCCCTGCCCTTTCTTCACCCCCTGGACCCTCCCCTATTTACAAAGACTTTGTTTCCATTTTTTTTCCTTTTCTCGTATTTTTTCTTTTCCCTTATTTCCTTTCCCCTATCCTTCCCACTTCCACTACACCTTTAGCCCTTTTCTTCCTATTTCACATTGTCAATTATACAATTTGGATCTTATTTACACTTTTAGTTTTTCACACCAGAGAGAAACTATTCAGTATTTACACGTGTCTTATTTATTTCATTTAAAGAGTATGGCCTCAATATGCATCCGTTTTCCTATGAATGACTCTAGTTTCTCATTTTTTATGGCTGAGTAGTGCTCCATTTTATAGAAAAACCACACCTTTTTTATCCAGTCTTCAACTGATGGGCAATTGGGCTATTTCCAGGCTTTAGTTATTATGAAAATTTTACCAGCTGCTCCTCAAAGGACTATTATCTAGAATATATAAAGAACTCAAAAAAATCAGGCTCCCCCAAATATAAAGACCCAATTCAAAAATGGGCATCTGAAATGAACAGACATTTCTCAAAGAAGTAAAAGCAGCAAATAAATATATGAAAAAATGTTCAACATCACTGGTCATTCAAAAGATGCAGATGAAAACAACACTAAGAATACATGTTTAATTAAGAACTCAAAATATTGATTATATAGCAAACTGAACACAGCAAAATATAGGATCAGTAAACCAAAAAACAAGTCAGTAGAAAATAGCCAAACAAAAGCACAAAGTGAAAAAAGAGCAGGAGATAGGGAAGCTCAAGGGAAAGGAGGAAGAGAATAGGTATAAGGTGGGCTGGGGATTTAGCTCAGTTGTTCCGCTGCCTGCCTTGCAAGTGCAAGGACCCAAATTCAATCCCCATTACCAAATAACAAAAACAAAACAAAAAAATAGAGAAGTTTAAGGTAAACATGAGACATGATGGAAATGTCATTCGTATATACACCAGACAACAGGAGAAAGATAAAAGCAATATTCGAATAAAGAATATCTGAGAGTTTTCCAAACTTTTCTTGATGAAAGATCAATCTAGACATTGTACCAACTCAAAGCTAGACATTGTTAGGGAACTGATCATGTTAAAGTATTTTGTGACACCGCCATTTTAGGCTGGACTTCCCAGTTCTTCTACCCGCCCCCCAAACCATTGTCTTAAATTTCCTTTTCCTTAAAACCACATCAGCACATGATAGTTTAGGAGTGGCTAGCCTAAACCTGATGGGAGAGCCTTCCTAATTAGCTCATAAATACCTCTGGGCAAGGGCAACCTCTCTCTCTGCTCCCACTCCTTGAATAAAATCTCCAGTCGGACCTCTTGGGTGTGTGTGGCCTAGTTGTTGAGCACTGCTGTTCCCTTTCAGATATACTAAGAAAAAACTACACCTAGGATACCATAATCAAATTACCAAAGGAAGAGAAAGAAGGGAGAAGTAAAGTCCTACCAGCAATCCAGGGAGAAAAACAGACTTTCAAAGAAACAAGACCAATGGATGTCTCAACCCTAGTGTGGGGGCCCAGTCATGGCCCACTGGAGTTTGACATTTGGAAAATAACTTCTTCCTGTACAATTAAGGCATTGACACAATCTATGTAACATTTGTTACTTTTCAAGGACACTGTTTGTTAAGCTTGTTTTGTTCTTTGACCCTGGCATAACAGGAACTCCTTAGCTGAAGATCTGATGTTATCTGTAAAAGTCAGGAAATCCGGTCTTTGCATAACGATAAAACAGGATTGCTTGGTGTTTTCTGTTGTTGTGTGCCCTTAAAAGCTTCCTGTTGATGTGAGCCTTTAAAAGGAGCTGTTTCTGTGAAATAAATCAGACTTCTCTTGTCTCCGCTCAGGCTTGAGTGTTCTTTCCTTTCTCAATCCTCACTCCCCAACTCAGGCATGTTCGTGTTGTGACGGCTGGACCGCCACAAGTGGCGCCCGAACAGGGACCTGAGTATCGAGGGATCCAGTGAAGGACACCGCTGGATAAAGAATAAAAGGAGATCTCGACAAAAAGGAAAAAGAGGACCTTCAAAAGGAAGGTAAAAGAGGAGCAGTGAGTTTTCTTGTAAATATTAAAAAGTGGGAGCTGGCAATAGTTGAGTGCTTTCTGTGCATATGCTTAAAGATTTATTGTGTGTCAGTGGCGTAAGAGTAGGACACCAGCAATTGTGCAATTTTTTAGAATTTGTAGTAGTTTGTCCTTGGTTTCCTTTTCTTTGCTTCTGTGTCTTTCTCTTCCTGTTAAAGTCTGAATTGGTAATTTGTGATCCGGATTATTTTGGAGGCTAGTGGACTCCCTGCTGCAGGGGCCGGAGACGTCCTT